TAAAAGAGCTGATTGCTAAAAAGCTGTACTTTCTGGGAACCTAAACTTTTTTGCTGTGGGGTGCTCATGACTAATATTTCAGAGAAGTGCTTCATTGAAAACCCCTTTGGGTGAATCAGCAGGTGGCAAATATCGGAACTGGCAGCGATGGCAAATGGAATAGCCAGATTCAACTTGCAGATGATGATGGCCTAGTTAGGCCCCAGCACAGTAGGGCAGGAAGTATATCTGATACAGCTCAGTGAGTTCCATCTAGCCTTGAGGGAGTAAGGTAAAATTCCTGTACTTCTTCCGGGTGCATTATAGTTCTTGGATTCGTTTATCCTTGGGAATCCTTAGGAATATTTATGAATAAAAACTGCAGTAGTTATCCATTGCACTATAACAAATTACCATAAAATTTAGTGGCTTAAAACAGTAAACATTTATTTCATATTCTCAATGAGTCAGGAATCCAGAAGTGGCTTAGCTGGGAGGTTCTGGCTCAGGGTCTGTCATGAGGTTGCAAGCAAGCTGTTGGCTGGAGCTGCAATCCTCTGCAGCTGGAGGAAGGCAATCTTCTGAGCATGCTCACGTGCTTGTAGCAGGCCTCAGTTCCTCCAAGGTTGTTCACTGGAGACAAAAGTTCCTTAGCACGAGGAACTCTCCAAGTCTTAATCGGTTCAGGCTGCTGTAACAGAATACTGTAGACTAGGTAGTTTGTAAACAACAGAAATTTATTTCTCACAGCTCTGGAGACTGGAAGTCTGAGATAAGAATGTCAGCATCATCAGGTTCTGGAGAGGGCACGCTTCTGGGTTGCAGACTGCTGACTTCTCTTTGTATAATCACGCTGAAAGACAGCCAATTAGCTCTCTGGTCTTTCTTATGAGGGCACTAATCTCATTCCTGAGGGCTGCACCCTCATGACCTAATTACCTCCCAAAGGCCCCACCTCCAAAATCATCACACTGGGATTAGGGTTTCAACATATGAATTTGCGGGGGAACATATTCAGTCTGCTGCACTGGCTGAGTGTCCTCATAACATGGCAGATGCCTTCCTTCAGAGTGAATGAGCCATAGTATCTTTTACAACAATCTCTGGGCCGTGCATGGTGGCTTACACCTGTAATCCCAGCACTTGGGAGGCCGAGGCAGACAGTACAAGGTCAGGACTTCAAGATCAGCCTGGCCAATATGGTGAAACCCCATCTCTACTAAAAATACAAAATTTAGCAGGATGCAGTGGCGGGCGCCTGTAGTCTCAGCTACTAGGATGTCTTTTAGGCTGAGGGAGGAGAATCACTTGAGCCCGGGAGTTGGCAGTTGCAGCGAGCCAAGATCGTGCCACTGAACTCCAGCCTGGTCAACAGAGTGAGACTCTGTCTCAAGAAAGAAAAAAATCTCTGGAGTAGCATATCATTACTTCTGCCATATTCTATTGGTTATATAAATCACCCTGGTGCAGTGTGAGAAGGAACGGCTTAAGGTATGAATAGCAGGTGGTAGAGATCCTTGAGGACCATCTAAGAGGCTGGCCATATGAAGACCGAATGGGAATTCAAGGACAACAAGAAGATAGAGATTTTTGTCTCTATGGTTGATAATACCTAAATAAAAACTAAAACAAAAAAAACCTGGCACATAGTAGATGTCCAGTTAATATTAAATAAATGAATTAATTTTAATATTAAAGGAAACAAATTGATATTAAAGGAACATTATTGTTATCCTGCAGGAACAGGATAAGATCTGGGTATTGGTTCCATTTGTCTTCTTTACTATATTTTGCTTAAGATTCAATTGATTTGCATATGATCACTGACCATAAGAGAATCTTTTCTCTTAGTGGAAAAGAAAATTAAATTGAGAGTATAATATTTGCTAGATAAAAATCTGCTTCTTCAATTTGAATGTCACACTTTATTTTGCCTAGCTCTTCTTCTTTTTGAGTTTAGGAGCAGAGGTTTATTTTTATTTTATTTAAAAAAACTTTAAGACAGAGTCTTGCTCCACCATGCTGGAATGCAGTAGTGTGATCTTGGCTCTGCCTCCCAGGTTCAAGCAATTCTCCTGCCTCAGCTTCCTGAGTAGCTGGGACTACAGGCATGTGCAACCATGGCCAGCTGATTTTTGTATTTTTAGTAGAGATGGGAGTTCACCATGTTGGCCAGGCTGGTCTCGAGCTTCTGAACTCATGATCCACCTTGGCCTCCCAAAGTGCTGGGATTACAGTTGTGAGCCACAGGAGCAGAGATTTAAAAGAAAAGAAAGAGAAAGGAGAGCAGCCCTCTTTCTCTCGTGAGAGAGAGGGGTGTCTGAAAGGGAAATGCCTGCATAGCTCCTGAGAATCATCAATTAGTGGGTATTCAAGAAGTGGATAATTTTTTAGAAAAGTGGAAAAGTCAGAAACAGTGCATTACTAGCGCTATTCTAAGCAAAATAGTAAATTAGGTACAGATTTCTAGTATGATTGGACACCTGAGACTGAAGTAACCAATGCCTAACTGCTAGACTTGGTCACTTCTTCTGCAAAATGATTAAACCTTCACTTCAGATTTACTTTACCCTAAAACTCGACTAACAGAACATGTCAGATGAAGAACTAAGACTGACTCTTCAGTGGGGACAAGCCATTCAGAATCCATGGAACCAGGATTCTCATTCAATATTATACTGGTCAGGGTTCTCCAGTGAAACAGAACCAATAGGATAGATGTATACAGACAGGTAGATAGATAATTGGATAGATAGATACAATGAGATTTATTATGAGGAATTGAATGTATTATGATTATGGTGGATGAGAAGTCCCACAATCTGCCATTCACCAATGGGAGACCCAGAAAAGCCAGTGATGTAAATCAGTTTGAGTTCAAAGGCCTAAGAACCAGAGAAGCCAATGTAGTAAATCCCATCCATGGGCAGGAGAAGATGAGATGAGATATCCATGCTCAAGCAGTGAGACAGAAAAAAGGAGCAAATTCCTCCTCCTTTCGTGGCCTTTTGTTATATTCAAGCCCTCAGTGGATTGAATGATGCTCATTCTCTGGGAAGGCAATCCACCTACTGAACCCAACAATTTAAATGCTAAGGTCATCCAGAAACACCCCCACAGACACACCCAGAAGTAATGTTTAATCTGGGCATCCTGTGGTCCAGTCAAGTTGACATAGAATTAACCATCATAAGTAATCATAAATATTAATAATTGTAATTGATACTATGACTTAAGCACCTTAAAGTATGCTTTACATACTTTTCCTCAACTTTAACATGGAAGAGTCATGGGGTACCTACCTAGCTCACTTCAATTTCCTTTTCCTGAGACCCATCCTTACCCAGATATAGGTCCCATAACTGTGTTGCTACTATGGGGCTCCATCTCCCTGGCCACAGCTGATTGAATTAGAGGGCGATACTTGACAAAAAGGAGCAAAGCAGATTCTATTTCCACTATACTTTGAAATGGTGCCTAAAGACTAGTGTATCAGTCACTTGAACAGAAGAGTTATGAAGAGCTATAGAGTGAGCATCTTCCTCAAGGATGAGAGATGGACGGAGTACCTGTTGGGTGCTTGCTTGTCACATTGTTCAGATCCTATTGAGACTAATCTACCCTTTGGGTCCATTTGATAACTCAGTGCACTTCCCCAAAAATTCTTTTTTGTTGCATAAAGCTGGTTCAAATTATACTTGCTTCCTATATCAAACCTGTTTTATAGATGAGAACCATGAGAAGTTGAGTAGCTTGCACAGGGCTACTGGCACAGGGCAGCAGAGCTGAGATTAAATCAACATCATATTGACTCTCGAGCTTGTTATTTATCTCCTATGCCATTAGAAGAAAGTGTTTCCTTTTCTCCGCTAACTTAGAATGCTCAGACTCCTGTAAAGTTAATTATAGCCACGTGACTTGCTTTGGTGAAAGAAACATACACAGAGGTGACATGATTCATTCATTCTTAGTGGAGATACTGATTGCCAGCGCTTAGCTCTCCATGCTGTTTCTTTTCCAGCACCTCCGAGAGCACATCAGGAGGAAACATAAGATCAAAGAAGCATCCAACACTGAGCTATCGCATGGAGAACACCTGCCCGGGAAGCCACCTAAACTGACAGTGGGCTTCTCACGAGAAATAAAATTTGTTGTTTTGGGACTCCAAGATTTTGGAGGTTTCTTTGTTTGACATTGTCTATCTCATCCTACTATAGTTAACTAACAACATCTTATGCTCCAGGCCGACTTCTGTCTTTGATTTCATATTAAATTAATTCCAACTTCCTCTTCTCTTAGAGCATAATTTCAGTTATATATGGCTGCATAACAAACCACTCCAAAGCTGAAAACAACAATAAATTATTATTTCTCATAATTCTGTTTAACGATAACCCATGAGGAGCAAGTGAAGTCACCCATATTTTACAAAGGAGACTGGAGCTCAGAACTCTGGACACCTCAGATCACACAACTAGTAAATGGGAGAAGGGAAACTGCAGCTCATGTCTGATTACTGCAAGGCTTTAGCATTAATGTGTCACAGTTACTCTGGCCAGCACACCCTGTGTTATCTAACAATGATTTCCATGTTCAATCTTTTCAGGTTTTGAAAATTGCTCTATTCACAAATGAATAAGAAAATAATCCATTAAAATATTTTTTCTAGAGCTTAGATTATTTATAGGTTTTTTAATTTGGAGGGACGTACCTAATTCTTAGAGACCTTGATAATGAACCTGTAACAGAGCTATTAGCAATGTTTACTTACTGTAAAACATTAACCGGCTAAGCCAGGTGGTTGTTTGGAAGTACACACCTATGCAAACCCCGAACGGGGAGTTATTTAGATTTTGCAGTGCCCAGATTTTCTTCTCAGGGATAGAGCTTCTTTACTGTACCCTAGTCCCATGACAGAATTTCAGCCCCAAACTCCCAGTCCCACAGTTCCTGTAAGGCATTTATGCTACTGTGCAAATGTCAGTACTCGTGAGACTTGTATCACTGGGGTGGACTTGAGCTGCACATAAAAATTATACTGAGAAAGTGTCCAAAATTACACTCATTATTGCTTGTAATTCCTGGATGCTTGAGACTAAGTCACATGGAGATTAGGATCAGATCTGGTTCAGAAGTGCTACCTGCGGTGCTGTTGCTATGGTAACCAATGGCCAAGGAACAGAGATCCAGGGAAACTATAGTCTTTGCTGCCATCCTGAGCTGGGCTCTGCCACCAGACCCTCCCTGGATGACGTGCTTCACTGAAGAATGGCTTCTGCTGCATCCCGTTGTATGGTCCCATACTCTCGGTCCCCAGCCTCCAAATGACACTTCTCATTAGGAACCTCAGCTGCCTGTGCCTTTGATCCATTCCCTTCACTTTTGTTGTCACGTTTCTGATTTGGAGAGAAATCAGGAAATGTTTGTACAAACAAAGACCTCTGAACCCCCCTTATTGTGCAGATACCCATGTAAGAAGCTTCTACTTTAAGCAATCTCAGTCTTCACCCCCAACTACCTTCTTATACAACACAGCTCATGACATCCTAACTTCACGGGAGTGAGGCAAATATGAAGAAGTGTCCCAGGGTGAGAAGAACTAGAAAAATAAGTCAGGCTGACTATGGGAGTTTGGTGAAATTGTAGTACATGATTACCAGGTGGAAAAAATAATATTCTATACTGACCTAAAGTTGGAGCAACCAATATTCCTATCTCAGGCCCCTTGTCCCCATCAGAGGGTCACATACCTTGTTTTGTATCCTGTGGTACTCATTTAACACGTACTGATATTTAGGTTGAGTAAGACCGAAGAAGACAGCAAACCTTCCACCAAGGAACTCACATGCTAAAAGAAAGAATGAGCACTTGGGTAAACCGAATTAATAACTAAAGCTTAGCATCAGCTGAGGGCCGAGTTTAAACTACTCTGCAAGTGATCTCTTAATATACTTAACTTGAAGCCTGATAAAAGATTTCAATTGCCTTGGCCTCTCAAAAATTCTAGGCTTCAAAGGAAATAAATTTGTCAAATCTTCTATCTTTATATGGGATTATATATAAACTATTTTTTCCAGATGTATATATCAGGAGAGATTTTCAATATATTTTAACATCAGGTACAGCATGGGTCCTGAGCAACCAGAACAGGTACTGCTCATTAACCCCGTGTGTACTGGCTTACATTTCTATTAAACCCGAACTCAACCCAGTGTTACCAAGACCCACATCAGGAATTCCTCCATGCATCCAGACAGACACCTCAGAAGTCGTTCAAGGCCTTCCTTGTCTGCCTTCGGTAGCAAGGATGCCTGCAGGCTCAGCACTGGCATTGTCAGAGGCAGGGATAAAGGTGTAGCATGAATAACGAGTGGCTCCTGAAGATGACCCCTAGAAATGTTTTCCTTTAAAATTAGAGGATTTCTGACAGCCTTCTCTTATGCCCCAATTATAGGACTTTCTGATTCCTTTGATTCATTCTGCCTCTTGGGATATCACACTCACATAGGGCATCAAAAGGATGCTATTTTTAATATGTCTTATCTTTTCAAAAATATGCTATCTCTTTATTCTGTATATTTGTAGTAGATAAGTTTTTAAAAAAATATTAAAATAAATCTTAGGGAGCTTTCCTGTTTATGACCTACTAGAATTTTAAATTGAAAAAATTAATTACCAGTGTCATCTGGGTTTCAACTCCATTCAAGCAAAATCTCTGTGTACAGAGACCACAGTCCTGACTGCTAGCATCTTTATGCCTCCACTGCGACCTTGAAGCTCTGGTCAGGAGCATTTTCTTCACTGCAGCTCTGTTTGGAACTCATAAGAAAGCCAGGCTCGCCATGCATCCTATCCCTGCAATCTCAAATCAAAACTCAACATGCAAATCACTCTTGTCTATACTCTCAATCCCATACTGAGTTTTGCTTCTTATACATGACCTAATCTTCTCTGATTCCCTCCATCTGAAACATATTTCTTTTTTGTTTTGTTTGTTTGTTCGAGATGGAGTCTCGCTCTGTCACCAGGCTGGAGTGCAGTGGTGCGAACTCGGCTCACTGCAACCTCTGCCTCCTGGGTTCAAGCGATTCTCCTGTCTCAGCTTCCCAAGTAGCTGGGATTACAGGCACATGCCACCAACCCAGCTAATTTTTTTGTTTTTAGTAGAGACGGGGTTTCACTGTGTTGGCCAAGATGGTCTCAAACTCTTGACCTCATGATCCGTCTGCCTCGGACTCCCAAAGTGCTGGGATTACAGACATGAGCCACTGCGCCCGGCCCGAAACATATCTTTTTAAATGCCTTTGCCTTAACTGAAGTGTAGAGCTTTCTAGAAGACGGCATTTTTCCTGTTAACATATTGCAGTCAGGGTAGGGTTAGTATTGACTGGGATTTCCAGTGTAGCTTCTGAATCACTAAACCCTCTGTGCTTGTGTAAAAGCGTTTATTGCTTGAAGGTTCATATCTGACTAAATCACCTCGTCTTTACTTCTTACTGTAATTTAAAGACTCCCTGGTCACGGTGGTCCTCAAGCTAACCTTAGCCAGCCACACTGTCATAGCTCTCTGAAGGTGTCTCCTCCATATGTCAGCGTGCCCGAGTCTTCCAGGTTATAGTCCCTGTGCACTCCTACCCTGGCAATGGTGAAAACAACTTATAATTACGAGCATGTTTGCTGATCTACATGATTCACTGAATACTGAGCCCCTTGAAAGCAGAGCCTGTCATTCATCTTTGTGTCCCAGGGTCCAGCACAGTGCTGAGCATATAGTAGACAGTACATGTTTTTTAAATGAATGAATGAAGATCACTTTCTAAGAGCTATGAATACATTTTATATTTTCTAAGAGCTATGAATACATTTTATATTTTCTCAGATTCTTAAAATAGTTTGCCTTTCTATCGTATTCACAAGATGTGCAAGTTAGAAGGAAATGAGTAATTGGATGTTGTCAACTATGTCTTAAAGAAAATTGGTGAAAGTAAAACAAAATACGATTTAGTATTTTGTTATAAATATTTACTTAGCCCAGTCATTATGTCTCTAGGAGGGATCAATAAAGTTCATGTTTATAATAAAGCGATTATGATAAGGGAAGTAGAAACTTAGAACTGTGTCATACAATATATATATATTTTTGAGACGGAGTCTTGCTCTGTCACCAGGCTGGAGTGCAGTGGCACGATCTTGGCTCACTGCAACTTCCGCCTCCATGGTTCAAGCGATTATTCTGCCTCAGCCTCCTGAGTAGCTGGGACTACAGGTGTGAGACAACACACCCAGCTAATTTTTGTATTTTTAGTAGAGATGGGGTTTCACCATGTTGGCCAGGATGGTCTTGATCTCTTGACCTTGTGATCCACCTGCCTTGGCCTCCCAAAGTGCTGGGATTACAGGCATGAGCCACCACACCCAGGCAATAATTATTTTTTTAAACTTGGAAGTTTATTCAGATGAAGAGTCAAGTAAGGGAGGACTGATTATTGTTCTCCAATATTTGAAACTCTGGGTTTATGAAAAAGGCATCTAGACTAGTTTGGTACGGTTCTAGAAAGAAAAGTAGGAACTTTAGAAGTAGATAAAATTTGGGTCGAGATAAGAAAGAATTTCCTGATGAGAGTTGGTAAAGGATGAAGGGTCAACCTCAGGATGTGAGGTTCTGTGCCTTTGGAAATTAAAGCCCTAGCCCAGATCTCGCTTCTTCAGGATGCGATGGGGTGGCTCACACAATTGGAAGTCCACATAACCCTGAGGGCCTATCAATATTTATATCTATTGAGGACAGAAAAAAGTAACCTTAGCAATACTTACTAGAAAATGAGGTGCTTGCTATTCGTCCTGCCCAAAATCGTAGGTAGGGCCCCCAAGAAAGTTTAGACTGCAAAAAGGAGACATCAGCATGGAGTAATTAATAAGAAGAATGGTGACTGCAGATTTGTTTTAATGTAGAGATTTCAAAATGCTCTCTGTATGTCGTATGTTCCATTTTCTCTCTCCCAGATTAAGAGACTAAGATGATTAAAATTATAAGTTGCCTACACATGGATCTAGAAAACAAAAAAGGAGACTACCACCTCCCCCACCATGTTCCCTAATATTGACATACTAAGCTTACAGGGTCAAGTGTTGAATTTATGCTCTGCTCCTCTTGTTCCTCTTTTTCTTCTTCCTCCTCTTCCTCTGTGCTATATTCTTCCATGATGTCTCCGTCAACAAAATGGATAATCCTTCTAGGAGTAGTCTTTTGGAAGGTACACTCTTCTCTAGGTCTAACTGCTGAAAACCGTCTATCTCCATAATGAAACAAAACAACTAGAAAATTAAAAACAGGGTACCTTTTAGGGCAAGTGACCCACAGCTGAGAGTTATCTAGTTATCTTCAATGGCTAGTAAAGACAGAGATTTCAGAGTTAATCACACTGGTGACCTCTTCCATTCTTCAAATCCAAGAAAGGACTGTTCTGTTCTCTACCAAAATGGAGGCGATTTGATAAGTAGTGAACATGTGAACTTTCAGACTTCAAACAAAAGTGTCAACAGGGTTTTCTTACCCCTTTTGTTAATTTTAAAACCCACAATTTCTAGTAGGAAGGAGTCACTGCCTTGCAGAAGTTTCTCACTTATTTCAATAAATATTGAGAAGCAGTGTAGGAAATGGTTGCGTATAGACTTCACAGACAGGAGAAAACATGTGCAAAGTATATATTTGGTAAAAGACTTATTTTCAGAACATGTAAAGAATGATTACAGTTCACTAGGTAAAAGGTAAACAATTCAATTAAAATATGGTCAAAATATTTGAGTAGAGATTTTACCAAAGATTTACAGATGACTAATCTCATTAGTCATTAGGGAAATATAAATTAAAATCATAATGAGATATTATAACATACCCACTGTCATGGCTAAAAAAAATTTTTTTTGAAATGGAGTTTAGTTCTTGTTGCCTGGGCTGGAGTACAATGGTGTGATCTTAGCTCACTGCAACCTCTGCCTCCTGGGTCCAAGTGATTCTCCTGCCTTAGCCTCCTGAGTAGCTGGGATTACAGGCCACCATGCCTGGCTAATTTTTTGTTGTTTTAGTAGAGATGGGTTTTACCATGTTGGCCAGGCTGTTCTCAAACTCCTGATGTCAAGTAATCCACCCACCTCGGCCTCCCGAAGTGCTGGAATTACAGGTGTGAGCCACCGCGCCCGGCCTATTTTCTTGTTTTTGTTTTGGCTTGTTTGTTTTTTGAGACGGAGTCTTACTCTGTTGCTCAGGCTGGAGTGCAGTGGCACAATCTCGGCTCACCACAACCTCCACCTCCTGGGTTCAAGTGATTCTCCTGCCTCAGGCTCTCGAGAGGCTGGGACTACAGGCACGCCCCACCATGCCTGGCTAATTTTTCTATTTTTAGTACAGATGGGGTTTCACTATGTTGGCCAGGCTGGTCTCGAACTCCTGACCTCGTGATCCACCTGCCTTGGCCTCCCAAAGTGCTAAGATTATAGGCATGACCTACTGCACCTGGCCAAATTTTCATTTTTTATTTTTTTGGGACAGAGTCTTGTTCTGTTGCCCAGGCTAGAGTGCAGTGGCATGATCATGGCTCACTGCAGCCTTGACCTCCCAGACTCAACTGATCTTCCTGTCTCAACCTCCTGAGTATCTGGGAACACAGGCGCATGCCACCATGCCTGGCTAATTAAAAAAATACAAAAACTTAGCCAGGCATGGTGGCATGTGCCTGCAGTCTCAGCTACTTGGAAGGCTGAGGTGGGAGGATTGCTTGAACCCAGGAGGTGGAGGTTGCGGTGAGTTGAGATTGTGCCACTGCGCTCCAGCCTGGGTGACAGAGTGAGACTCTGTCTCAAAAGAAAAAAAATGCAATAAATGTATGCTAAAAAATTAGTAAATAGGATGAGAAATGTCAGGAAGTATTGACTTTTAAAAACACTATTTTGGTGGGGACAGTATAAAGACAAAACCAAGTACTAAGTATTAGATAATAAAAAAATATGAGTTGACTTCAAGTATTGTTTTGGGATAGGCTGGATAAGATAGTTTATAGTTTGCTAAGTATGCATATTAACAATTGAAAAGTAACTAGACAAATAATGGAATTAGAATGTGTAGCTTCAAAACCAGTGGAAGAAAATAAAAAAGAAAAACACTCTGATGGAAGGCAAGAAAGAAGCAACAGTAAAGAAAAATCATGATCAAAAGAAACACTGAATAAAATATCAGCAATAATTCCAAGTAAGTCAATAATCATAATAAATGCAAATGGATTGTCAGCTATCCATTAAAATGAAGAGTAGCAGATCGAATTTAAAAAATATTTTATGGGCAATGCAAACATGAATGAATATATATATACACACACACACTCACACACACAAATAAATCACCAAATCTTATTGCTACAATGCTGAGCTTAATGCCTTTGTCAAAGGTCAGAGTTGCAAAGACTTGCCAAAGGTTACATTTGTCATCCACAGCAAGGTGATGTGATATCTGTCCTGCTCTGGGGACCTCTGAATATTACACATGGTTTCCCCTGACTTAGTGGTGTATCATAGAAAAGCCTTAGTAAGAAGTAGATAGGTATTACCATTTAATTTCTGATGCCAAAGAGCAGCAAAAAAAAAAAAAAAAAAAAATTTTTAAATTTGGTATGTAAGACAAACAATATGTGAAGCATAATACTATTGCACAAATAAATATTATCAGTGCCCTAAGAAACAAAGCACACTCTACAACAAGCAAGAGAAAATTAAAACATTTTCAAATAGTAACTTACATAATCCCTCTGTATTTTCTTTCATTTGCTACGTTTGGTGTTGAAAGTAGTACAAATTTTGATGTTAGGGATTGTTCAATAGATGATAAAGTTAAGAGTTAAGGGTTCTGTAGGCTGAGGCCATGCAGAGCGCTTGGATATGCTGACGTGGAAGTGTTCTCTCGCATGGCTGACAGGGTGGAACATGTTTGAGTTGTGGGAAGGTCTATATTTACACATCCAACATTAGCTAAGCCCAGTGGCTCTCAAAATTATTTGGTTATGAGAATCATCTGGGGGTCTTTTAAATAATTTCTAAGACAGGCCACACCTCAGGCCACCTAAATCACAATCTCTGTGGGTGGAACTCAGGCACTAGTTATTTTTTTGAAGCTGCCCGGGTCATCCCAGTGTTCGGGCAAGTTTGGGGACCAATGCCCTAAAGAGAGTGGGACAAGAAGAAGCTTTGAAACTGAAACAGAAAGAGACTTGTGATTGAGAGACTGGGTTTATTGCAGAAAGCTTAAACATCAGGCTAGTTGCAAGACACCTTGCCTTTTTCTTTCCAAGGGGCTTTCTTGCTTTCTACTTTCTGAACGCTTCTTCACCCTGCCCCAAGCTAAAAAGCTTAAATATCAAAAGTTTAAAAATTAGGCCTAATAGTGTCATTAGAGTCAATTTACTCCTCTTAAGACTGTCCAATTCATACATTTCCAAACCTAATGAGACATAAGCACACCCTCATCCCCTGTACACCTGGCTCACCTCCTGTATTTCTTACAGACTGATGATGATGATATCTGTTGGCTCTCTGAAGAAAAGACCAGTCTCTGTTCTTCTTGATGATAGTGTTGTACATTGACAGACATACACATCTGTAAGTTCAGAGGGCTCTCTGAGAGGCTAGAGGGGAGTGGAGAAAGCGTGAACCAGCACGAGACCGAGCACTAGCTGGCTCACCATTGGTTTACTGAATATTTTTCTGCCACCTAATGGGCATTTTAGAATATGCTCTGCAAACTCCATGTTTATAGTCAGTGCGTGTCTCACAGAGGGATCTCGATAGTGAACAGGTTGGAATCAACTTATTTACAAAAACCTTGGGAGCACTGCCAGCTTCACACTTAGATGTGGATATTTTGTACGTGATATTTTAGCTTCAGTTTCTTTTTTTCTTTTTTTTTTAGACACGATCTTGCTTTTGCCCAGGACGGGGTGCACTGGGTGTGATCTCTGTTGACTTCAACCTCCACCTCCCATAGGCGTGTGCCACTACACCTGGCTTTTTTTTTTTTTTTTTTGTAGAGGTGGGGTTTCCCTATTTTTGTCCAGGCTGTTCTTGAACTTCTGGGGTCAAGCAATCCTCCTGCCTCAGCCTCCCAAAGTGCTGGGATTACAGGCATGAGCCACCACGCCCCGCTGTTTCTTAACCCAAATATAAAGGATAGTACCCAAGCATGCAATGTAATTAACAGATCATACAATCTCTCTGACCTTTTGAATACCGTATTAGCCCAGGGCCCAGTGAGTGGACCTCTTCTCTTTTCTATCTGCTTTCTTGATGATCTCCTGTGGCCCTGTGGCTTTAAATACTACGCACACACAGGTGACTGCAACTTTCATATTCTCCAGGTCAGACTTTTTCCCTGAATCTCACAGATCAACTACCCGCTTGACATCTCAGTCCTAGTGTGTCTGTATCTTTGCTCGTGCTTTCGGTGCCACTCTCACTCCATCCCCGCAACACACACATACTTACCTCTCCTCCTCTGGCAGCCTTCTCGTCTCAATCAATAAACGGCCGCTCTATCCTTCCAGCTGCTCAGGCCAACATGAAAGTCATTCCTCGTTCTTCTTTAATCACTCCTCACATCACATCTGCCAGGAAATTCTCTTGGAAGTTTCTGGAATCACACTTTCATGACTCCACTGCCACCACCCTGGGCTGTCATCTCTCACCGTTGCCATCGTCTGTCACCTAGATTATTGCAGCGGCCTCCTAATTGGCCCCCTCCAGTCTACACTGGAAAAGGAGGCAGAATTGTTAAATCCTAAGTCAGGTCATGTTATTTCTCTGCTTAAAACTCGCCAGTGGGTTCTCGTCTCACCTAGTGTAAAAGCCGAAGTCCTCACAATGGCCTGCAAGGCGGTATATCCAACCCCTGAGCTTTATGATGCCATCTTGTACTACTCTTCGCCGACTGACCATCACTCTAACCACACCAGCCTTCTTACTGCAACTCCTTGACCACACAGGTCCTCCCTCTCTCTCTGCAGAGAGCTCTGTACTGGCTGCTCTATCAATCTTTCTTTCCAGATTGTTCATTGCTCATTTCCAGTCTTTAACTCAAATGGAGACTACGCTGAGCTCCTCTTTCAAGGCAACCACCCATTGCCTTCACCACGGCCCTTTGCATCTTACCTCCTGTTTCATTTCTTCTTAGCACTTACCAACACTGAACAACACTCCATATTCCACGTCTGTCTTCCCTTTCCTTCCTGCCCCGCCCCTTGGCAGAGTGGGAAGGTTTTTACCTCTCTGTTCACTGCTGTATCTTCTGCCTGTACAATGCATTACACAGAGCTGGAACTCAGTATTTGTTTAACAAATGAATCATACATTTAGTTCATGTTAATGGGTGGGAGGAGGTGTATAACAGACTGGAAAAATAACAAACTTGAATTGTCTTTATTTCCTGCTTTAGAAATGACTATCCTTCATTTAATACTTTTCTGATTACAGCTATATACTAATCATTTCATTTTGATTAACTCCTTCACTGAAAAGAGTTAAAAAAGTATTATAATCTGTACCAAGGAAATAACACATTAGTTCTACATCTTGGCATTTAACTTCAATAAGTAAATACACTATTTTAAGTATATAACACTTAAAATTTTCTAGAATTCTTTCCATTTTCATTTATCTAGAAATGTTTTCAAATGGACTATGCTAAAATTCAGCTAAGAACTGATGTTGGGTCATTACACAGGAGCTAATCAGCGTTGCTTGCCCGGAGCTGCTGGTCCCCCTTCCTGCTTCCGCCTTTCCTTCTTCCTGAGGTGGCTGAAAGGTCAAACCCCTAGTGAGAGCAGAGACCCAAGGCCCCACTGTGCACCTCAGAGGCAGAGCTTCACAGCACGGTATTCACTGACATTTCTCTAGGCCCCTTCACCTGAGGGAACTGACCTGCTCCCATCAGTGACCTGCTGTGTGTGTGTCAGAAGGGAAGAGAAAAATGTGAAATAACAAATCACTGCTGCTCCTTGAGAATTAAAGAGCATCATCACCTGGCAGGCTGTGTCTTTATTTGCAGTATTAAACCATATACATGCACCCCAGTGCCTGCATGTCTGTCCACGCCTGTCCCACTGTGGTGTTTCCCAACCTTTTTTACATCATGCAAGATGACAGAGAAAATTCTTTGGAATTCTGGAGGCAACCAGCCTGGGAGCTCCAGCCACCGTAAGTCCTGCCCAGGAGGCCACCCAGAAAGCTTCAATCAATAGCTTGAGACAACCTACTTGTGAAGCTCTGCATTAAAGAAGCAAAGTCAAGTTTGACATTTTCTCAGGGGAGTGCTCTGAGAGTGACTGTATAAGCTTCTACCGACTTCAAGCAAATCATAGGCATCAGATACATTAAATGCTGAAGTGAGAGCTCTGGCTTTTGGATAAGCACAATCAAATGTATTTTCTGTTTTATAATTAATCAACTTCTCTCCTAGATTAACTATTTTGATCCCTTTATTATTAAAACATTCTTAAATAAAAATTTAAACTTTAAGCAAATTGTTTTCAAATGTCAAATAAAAAAAAATCTTTAGATACGAAGTTATGGTAACCCAAAGTGACATTCCAAGTTTATTTTATACAGTAAAATGCAGTATTTTCTAAAGCATGATTACTCTAATTCTAAAAGAATTCTGAATATGGTTTTATTTCTGCATGCATTTATACAACATTAGAAGTGTCACCTCAAGTTTGTAAGGCATAGTTTTCTACAGATTATTGTGCAGCGACAATAATCCTCTAGCTTAGCAAACCATAGTACAAATACTGCATCATGTTGGTTACTACCAAGCCCGAGACATAAACAGGCCAATCAAAATCCTTTGAGATTAAGAAGCGATAGGTACTAATACACATAAGCAGACACTGAAGAAGTCAAGGACACTGAAGGTTTAATGAGTCCATGAAGCATAAAATCATTGATGCAAATGTATCTGTCATTTTATTTTTTTGTGTGACAGTGCCTCACTCTGTCACCCAGGCTAAAGTGCAGTGGCATGATTGTGGTTGTTCACTGCACATGCTACCACACCCAGCTCATTTTTTAATTTTTGCAGACACAGGATTTCCCCATGTTTTCCAGGCTGGTTTCAACTCTAGGGCTCTAGCAATCCTCTCGCCTCAGCCTCCTGAAGTGCTGGGATTATAGGCATGAGCCACCAGGCCTGGTTATCTGTCATTTTCAAACATTATCATGAAGAATGATTTTGCACTGTCTTAACTGTTACTAGCTTAGTAAGTATAAAAATATTTATCAAAAACAAGAGATCTCAATGAAATTGTGAGTAAAATTACTTTTATTTTCATAAATAGAGAACCCATTATACACTTTGAGTAGAAGTAACATGTTAGTTGTCACTGCCCGGTACGAAATGCGTGTAATAGTAAACACAAGTAGTTACATCTCTCCATAACCTTCATGTAATTTCTCTACATTTGATAATTTCCAACAAGGTTTTAAAAACATTACATATAACGGGATATTTTAGTCAACAAAATATTTATCTCATGTCAAAGATGCCTACTGATTTAAAGTAATACCAGTACTGCTTCATTTTACAGAAGCACTGGACATATGACATTTCCCATTTCATATACGACAGTATCATCCCCAAAAATGTCAATGTGAAAATTTAGTAAGTAGATTAAGAAGCACAAGTATCTAAGAGGAGTAGGTCCCACAAGCCAGAGAGTAAAGAGCTGGCATCAAGTACTGTTTAACGTTTTGTCAGTAAGTGGCACACAACAGACAAGTGGTTCTGTAAAAAAGACAACAGAAAATGCAGTGAGATTTAATAAAGCATTTTCCATAGATATTAAAATAAAATTAAATGTCTGTTTACTTATTACTCCACTTATTTCAGAAACTGCAGCTTCAAATATTAATATCATGCAGCTAGCAGTATTTAGTATTTCATATGTTAAGAAAAACCTCTGAATTTATCTACCTTTTTTAAGGAATGTAAACTATGATATATGATTTAAGTAATCACTTATTTGAATGCAGTATTGATTCAGATAGGCATAATCTACTCATTTTTCATAATGAAATGTATATTCCTATTTCAACACTTTGCTTATTTCTCACCGGGCTGCTGTGGATTCAATGGCTTATCTATGTAAGTGTCCAGCACAGTGGCTGGCACACAGTGGCTTTTAGCGTATGCTACTTATGTTATCTATATTAAGTGAATCAACCTGTCACTTACAATAGAAAAATTACCTAATGCTCCAAGAGAATAATCAGAAGTTAAGCCTACAGATGTGTGACTTCTGTTTAAGTATTATGCATCCACTATTTCCCAAATTTGCATACACACTAATTGTTTCAACTGTTACAATCTATTTTTAAGATCATATTGTATCTGTATTGTTCTCTATGTTTTTGCTATGGCCTTTGGCCTAAAGAAATATAATTCTGACAGGACATTATCAGAAAACCACATAAAACAAATGTACACTGAAATCAGGTCACCAAGGCATTTTACTATAACTTCTTTAATAAAGAAGTAGAGAGTTAACAGTGTAATTCAGGACAACCTATCTCATTTTAGTTTTTTTTCTTTACATCATGCAATATTTGACTTCAAAAAACATTTTCCATTCTGTCTTTCCTATATATAAACATTAAGACTATCATAACTATTACAAAGGTCTGTCCTCTAAGTAAAAAACCCACTAGAAAGATATTTGTAAAAATCAGTGCAGGGCTACGGATACTGAATGAATGAAGCACAGGGCTACTGGAATAGGGTAAGTTCTTAAAGGTCCCAACATACCTATAAACACTGATTTTGAGTAATTATTGATTCTAATACATGTAAAGGACTTGGTGTGATGGTTTTCTGATCTTCAACTATAAGTGACAATTTTCCACCCACCAGAAAAAGATAAATGACTGAGAACATAAGTCTGTGTTCTGATTAACACGATGGAAAAGTGGAAAAACTATCTCTGTTAAAAATGGATTCCTGTCATTCTTCTGATATCAAGTAAGAGGAAGGAAAATTAATTTTTGTGTGTGTAAATAGAAAAACATACCTGAGGCTGGGGCGGTGGCTCACACCTGTAATCCCAGCACTTTGGGAGGCGGGTGGATCAGCTAAGGTCAGAATATGAAATTAGGCCAAATCTTTAAGACCAGCCTGGCCAACATGGTGAGACCCGTCTCTACTAAAAATACAAAAATTAGCTGGGCATGGTGGCGTGTATCTGTAATCCCAGCTACTCAGGAGGCTGAGGCAGGAGAATCACTTGAATCCAGGAGGTGGAAGTTGCAGTGAGCTGAGATCATGCCACTGCACTCCAGCCTTGGCAACAGAGGGAGACTCTGTCTCAAAAAAAAAAAGAAAAAAAGAAGAAAAGAAAGGAAAAGAAAAAAGAAAAAACATACCTGAAACCACAATTTGGGCCTATATTGACCTGAAACTTATTACTATCCAGAGTTTAACAAAAGATCCAACCCCCAAATACACCCTTTAGAGGCACAATAAAATCTTCCAAATGTTGTCCTGATTGAAAGGAGAATCTGAAAACAAAGCAAGAAACACCTCCTGTATTAAAAATCAAGAACAAGTAAGCTGAAGGCAGATACCCTCTGAATGCAAGTTATTCTACAAGCTTCAGAGAACTCATTTGGAGAAATAAGAGCTGCAATTCTGTGGTTTATCTCTCTCTACGGCTAGAGAAATTCTAAGTGCAAACTGTATTTTAGGAGATGTGGCACCCAGTGTCCTTCTGAGGTTTGATATCTGGTTCTTTCACGGGTTTTACTTCTTCTTCTGGTTTGGGTTTAGTCTAGGGAGAAAAAAAAAGAAACAGTTTAAGTATATAAACGAAGACTGAGAAAACAAACACTAAATCTTTTCCACTTCAGACTTTTAAAAGATGCTATATTAAATTATATAACACAGATACTGACAAAGCTATTCCAGAAACTACAGACCAATTCATTTTAAGATATAATCGGAAAGCAACATTTCAGTAAAGATCAAAACCTAGTTTGGTAGGCAAAAATCAAGCTAATGGTACTGGTACTTTGACTGCATATTCTTTTCTAAGTGATCTATCTATACATGTAGAACCCTAAAGGTTAGACATGACTTATGACAGTAATAGGCTATCTCTTAGGGCATTATTTCATAGTTGATCAGAATATAAAGACAGTTATTTTAAGGAACAAATTTTAATATGGGAAGGAATTATATAACAAACCCAATTCAAGGAAGGAGCAATGGCTATAAAATAATTTTCATTCATTCGTCACAGATCCCTAGTCTTTTGGTAGTTAGACCTCAAAATTTCCACTTAATTTATCATTTGATTTAGAACACCAAGATGTACTTAGATAGCAATAAATAAAAGTATTCTTATTTTATCCCTGGATTCATAGAATACTTCTCTTAGGGCATTATTTCATAGTTGATCAGAATATAAAGACAGTTATTTTAAGGAACAAATTTTAATATGGGAAGGAATTATAAACAAAACCCAATTTCAAGGAAGGAGCAATGGCTATAAAATAATTTTCATTCATTCGTCACAGATCCCTAGTCTTTTGGTAGTTAGACCTCAAAATTTCCACTTAATTTATCATTGATTAGAACACCAAGATGTATTTTTAGAATCCCTGGATTCCAAGACTGTACTTAGATAGCAATAAATAAAAGTATTCTTATTTTATCCCTGGATTCATAGAATACTGTAATTAGGCCAAATCCTCAAACGCTCTGCAGTTTGCTAAAACAAAAAACAGAGTATTGCTATAGCATATATAAACATGGCTGATCTTTTCTCCCACACTCCTTTAAAGGAGGCACTGACAAGTTGTAAAGAGGCAAGACAATGTGTTGAAAAGAATGTCATTATTCAGAAGACAGAAGGCCTCGAGGTCTTATCTCTGAGAGTGTTCTACCACAGATTATACTAAGCACTGTAACTCTCTAACTTAGCATTTAGACAAAGATATGTATCTATTTAAATAAAGAAAAATATCAAAATGCTAACTCTGAATTTTTCTTTTAAACTTTTGGTAATGAAAGCAAAAAACAAAGCAAAACAAACAATCTCATACACTGTCATCCTTGGTCTTTTGGTGAGATCAAATGCAGCCAATGTTTCTGGTGTCCACTGAGCACTTGTAGGAGGAAATTCGAAAGGTACAGGCTCTACGAGACCGTAATTTGCTTTGAGTTCCAGCTGTGGGGCTTCTGTTGGAATTTTTTGAAAGTAACTGCAAAAAGTAATTTAAATAGCAATTCATTCATTTGTTCATTATTTGAGAGCCTACTACGTTCAAGGTCGTGTTTGGGACAATGACAGTTTAATCATGAATAAGAAATTTTCTGCCTCATATAGATCAGTAAATGACAAATCAAGACATTTTGTCAATTACAATGCAATGTACTGGAGCTACCATGGAAGTAGAGTGCTATAAGAATGCAGACAAGGGGAATTAACCCAGAATTAAGTTCAGTGACTCTTTCCAAAGGAAATCATTAAAGGTGAACTAGGCATGTTTAAGGAAGTGAAAAGCTCAGTATATATAGATGAAGAATATAAAGGGAAGAATGTAAGGAGATTAAAAAGCAGGAAAAAGATTGAGTCTACCCACCCACACAGATGGTAATCTACAGTTTGAAAAACACTGATTTAATCATGGAAAACCTCTTGAAAAACAAAACAAGAAAAACTGAGAGCTGAAACCAGCATGAGGTGATATGCAAGGAGGTTGAAGAAGATACATTAAAACATGGAGAAAGAATGGCAGGCGGAGTTAACGAGAAAATCAGGACACTATGTGAGTGTCCTAATGAAATAAACTCTACGTTAATAACTAATGTTTTAATTTTAAAGTCTGCTTGTATATATTATCC